GATATGTACCGATCTGCGGAAGTTCGGTTTCCAACGTCCGCCGGAACCGCCATCAGCGTTGCCCGTGATACCAACGCGATACCTCCACCACAGTAATACTTCTTCCTGGTTCACAAATATCTTTCTCTGACCCAGGCATCCTTACAGGCCGTTTCATCCCGCCGTGCCCATCGTACCTCGCCATGAGACTACCAATGGAAGAATGCATCAGTTCGGCACTGTCGCTATTTACGTCCCCACAGCCGAATTGGGACATCTGTAATCACGACCTCTCGGAGGGCTGCGTCTGCTCTGGCTCTCACTTGCGCTACACTGTGCTTCAGGGAGAGCCCTACGACGGAATAGGACGTCTCCCAACCGAAATGCTCGCGGAAATCTTCGTGCACGCGCTATCCAGTTTCAACGTAGGCGATTTTGCGCCTGATACGGTCCACTGGAAGCGCATCGACCAGGCTCTTGTCATCATGGGAGTCTGCCATCGCTGGCGGCAGGTCATGTTGGCGCGTGTATTCAGCCGGATTGTCTGGAACAAGATACCTTGTTCTGCCCGGTCCGGCAACTTCGTAGAGCTTCTGCTCGAGCGTTCCAAGGATCAACCCATCTCTCTCAATATAGCGCACCCCTCTGCGGATGAGAACCATCGTATGACGCTATACAAGCTTGTGTCTACTCAAGATAGGATCGAGTCGCTGTGCGTCTTTGGCTGGCGTGCCCGGGTTGCAATCCCGTTCTCGAGGCCTGAAATGTCGTTCCCTCGCCTACACACCCTGGTATTGAGTTCGTCCGCGCCCTACTGCGATGTACGCCCATGTGACAGCACAATCGACCAGAGGACCTTAGGGTGCTCTCGCTTACCATCCCTCCGCACTCTACGGATCCTCACTCATACACACCTCCTCGCGACCAGAATGGCAGCCAGCCTGCAAGAACTTCAGCTTCACTGCGTTCGGAACCAAATGGATCTCATCCAATCGCTGGCCCACGTTCCGTTCCTTCGTATCTTGAAACTCGACCGGCTTTATGACGCCGAAGACGTTTATCACAACCTACCGCCGCCGACCAGCATACCCTCGACGTTTCTCAAGGGTGAATACGCAATTCCAACCCGCGTACCGCTCGACGCGTTACAAGTTTTGACCGTTCTTTGGGCCGGAGGAGCAGCATTGGCGACGTTCCTAGGCTCGCTGTCTATTCCTGAGAGCGCGACCGTCTTCACTCGCTGCCTCGTCGAATCCGAACGTGACCAACAAGCTTGGCCGGACCTGGCACAAGTTGTGACCCGTCACCTCAGAGATGACGGTGATTTTGGCGTAAGCAGCGTCCGCATGCAAATACGTTGGCCCATCTCTCAGGAAGGCGCTATCATGGTTCAATGCCTGTCTCCGTCAACTGACACGTCCACAAATCTGGTGACGCTGCACCCGCGCCTCACGCTCCATGTTCACTCTCGCAATCATCTCTCTTACTCGGATGTCCTCGTAGAACTTTCTCGCTGCATACCGCCGCATGCCGTCGCGGATCTTCAAATCCGCTCCTCTGACGTCAGACCTCGCAATGGCGCTTTTGTGGACTTGGCTTTCCCCGCTATCTTCGCTTGCTTCCCCAACGTCGGTACCCTGGAGCTCTTTGGCAACATCGCGCCGGCGCTATACGCATTATCGCTCCCGTCATCGTACCTCAGTTGCTCAGTCACTATGCACCGACTTCACGACCTGATTCTTCACGACACTTCTTCGCAGACAATGTCCCGGATTGCGGAGCTCCAACAGCTGCTACGTCTGCTTCACCGGGTGCGGTCCTTTTCCAACGTCGCGTCTGTTCTCATCAAGCAAACAATTTGGAGCCCGCTGCATCATGAAGAGAGATTGGATGCAATCTTCGCGGTGGACGATAAACCCGCTGAGATTATGATGGGCATGCAGCGCCTTGTCGAAGCCCTTGCGACGTGAGTCCCTTGTTCTTCACCCGTCTGCAGGGATCCTTTTCTTACCGCTACGTCAGACGCTTCAACCCGTCTAGAAAACCCAGGTCGACTATGTGAACTCAACGTGTCCACTTCTCTCAGCCTAGCAACGCCCTCCTTCCTGAACCCACACCAATTTGATACACTGGATTCAACCCGTTAAATCCTTTCCTGCACTTGCGATACCTCCCCCGACACCGTGATACCGTCTTGTTTCTTTGAGACTCGATCATATAGCAGTAACAGCTTCCTGTACGATGACTTCACACCGCGATATCCCTTTACCCATGTGAATATTTCTCAAAGCACAGGCTACTAGCTGAATTCTCCTACGACTTATACTCCTCGCTTAGTGTACGCCAGATAAAAATAGCAGACATTCAGTGAAAGTAACTTGGCACCCCGCGCAGCGGATCAAGACTAGCCTGAGTTTCGTTCGCCCGGTCGAACCGGTGCTCAGAAATTGATGGGGGACGCGATCACATGAGCTAGAAAGACGCGTAGATTTGTCAACGGAGCTGTCGTAAGCCGTGAGTAAAGTAAACGAGATGTGTCACAAGCCGCGGCGCGCGCAAAGTCGCGCATCGGTCCCACCTTGCTTGTCTACCGCCACCATCTTCCCGATGGGTTCGCACTTCACCTTCAGCAACCCGTCGGGAAGGACTCTCGTCTCAAAAATACTAGCCGACTGCCTACCAGAACATATAATCCCACACGATGACCAACTCACGTGTGTCTGTCAATTGCTCGACGGCGTCAATATTGTCGCCATTCTCGCTACTAATGCCGGCAAGACCGGCATCTTCTATATGTTCATATTAACTGTTCTCGCCATACGCTCTAATCCCGCTCTTTGTCCTGCCGCCTATACTCGCTATCCCGATAATGCTGCTATGATAATCATACTGCCGACAGTAGGCCTCAGTGAGGAGATGGTGAACTATCCCCCATTTTCGTGGTTGCCGCTTCGCTAAACTTCGCCGTAGTCTGAGAATATGGAGGCTCTCGGACTCTCTTCCATAGTCATCACCGCCAATTCGATCTCGCACGCCCGCATGCACAACCAGCCGAGTCCGTGGTCTCTTGCAGTCAGCCAGGCTGCTATGATCGTCATGTCCCCGGAGCAACTCTCGTCGGACGCCTTCAACCACCTTCTTGATATGGCGGAGTTCAACACTCGCCTTCTTGCACTGGGAGTGGACGAGATTCACCTCATCGACACGTGGGGTAGAGATTTTCGCAAGGCTTTCAAGAACATCGGTGCAGTGCGTGCTCGCTTGCCGAAGCGCGTGGTCCTCGCGGCCGTGACGGGTACACTGCTTGCTGTTGGAGGTGCGTGCCCTCCTGTTCGTATTCATGTACTCAGATGCTAACCGGTCGACAGGGCAAACCGAGCGCGTATGTCACGACCTCGGCCTCCGCAAGGGACACTTCTTCATGCTTCGTCGTTCAAACCTTCGCCATGATCTTCAACTTCAATTTGTTACACTTACACACGGGCTCGGTGGTTCTACTTTCCCTGATTTTGATTTCATCGTTCATGACACCGAGCGTCGTAAATGTATCTTCTTCTGTCCCACGATCAAACTTGCATTTACCCTTTTTGCTTATTTCTGGTCCATTGCTCCCACATTCCCCCCGCGCGATAAGCGCTTTTTACTGTATACAGCAGCAAATTGGCCGTCGCATAACGAAGCGATTCGCAAGCAGATGCGCGAGGACGGCGATTTCCAAGTTCTTGTCGCCACAGATGCTGCGAGTGTCGGCCTGACCATCCCCGGGATTGCCGATGTACACCTTGTAGGCATCGAGAAACAGACCGTCAACAAGCTACTGCAAGAGCTTGGCCGAGCGAACCGCGACTACTCGGTACGCGATGCGCGCGGGAGGGTCTATCTCCCACCGAGGGCAGTGGAAGCCGCGAAGAAGGCAGTTGCTGACGCCGCCTCCCACACCTCGAGGAAGAATCTGACACGGAAGCAGGAGGGCGCTCTGATGGAGCTCGAATTGGCCCAATTCATCCTGGCTACATGTAAGACGGCCGAGCAGAATCGCCTTTACGACAACCCACCACCCACGTCGTGTACGTGCAGACGCTGCATCGCAAAGCCACCTCCCGCACCTCGAGAACGCTGCAACTGCAGTGGTCCCAACTGCATGCCATTGCCTGCACCGCCGAAACGACCCACCGTTCGCACCACTATCACCAAGAAGGACCGTCTTACGCCTATCGAACGCGCGCTCGCCGACCAAGCTCTCATTGACTTCCGTTGGAGTCTCTGGGATTGTCTCCCCGAAACCTCGCCCTACCTGCCGGACATCTTCATCAGCGACAAGGAGAAAGACAATCTGCTAGACGAATGGGTTCATCTCCGAGATCGTGAGAGCCTCGCAGCCCGCGCGACGTCGCCAGAGCTTGCGCCGCATCTCGCTTCACTCCTCGCCGTCATCATCTCTCTGAAGGACGATTTCGCATTTCGTCGCGCGGTCTGGCTTCCTGTCCACGACACCCTCCTCGGCAGGACGAAGTCCGTTCCAGATCGTCTCGAAGCGATCTCGTCAGCTGCACGGAAGGCTGTAGAGAGTGCGCGGAAAGCTGCCACGAGTCGGCATGAGATATTGTGCGTGACATCTAACATCGTATTTGGCGGGATCTCATTTACTGACCCGGTTTTAGTGTGACTTGCGACACTGTCTCTCTGCCGTGCGGGACAATTCCGGCCGCTCACGTTTATGCCGGTGTCCTACGCAGAACCGCATCCTTCTCCGCATCCGACCAGCCTTCCGTGACTGCCGTCGAGAGTTCTGAGACAGCACGCCCGGGCGAGGAGACTCTTGGTAAGGAGCAACTCGGGTCTCTGCCACGCGGAGAGCTACAGGCTCTAGCGCGAGTATGTGGATCTACCTTCGTGCAATATGCTTATACTGATTCTGTCACAAGTCTCACAGGGTCAAGGCAAACACGAGATCGGCAGCAATCATCGAGGCTCTTTGCGAGCAATTTCCGGATGGTGTTCCCTACTCAAGTTCGCCGAGTACACCTCATTCGAATAAACGGACACTTGCGGATCCGGACGTCGCCTCCACATTTTCGCGCTCACGTAAGGTATGTCGTCGTCGCGCTCATATCTCTCGACCGGCGAGGAACTCAATCTGGCTTGTAGGTTGCAAAGTTGGCTTGAGGTCCTACCCAAAGCTCTACTGTCATTCCTTCTACTTGTACATAAGCAGCTACTGGTACTCCTTTTCCTGATCACTCTCCTCACTATTACTGTCCTCTTCCGAACTACTACTATAATCACCAAGTTCCGCATTCTTCTCGTTGTGATGAGTTTCGTTCTCGTTGACATGTAAGACCCGATTCGGGCCCAGTGAGGATGCTCGCTCCGGCTCACCGTCTAGTACATCGTCGTTGATAACAGGTGGTGTCGAATCTATTATCCGACAGTAAGTTCCTGCTCTATGTACAAGGCATCGGCCACTCACCTGTGGTAGATTGATTCGGCAAATCTTCTTCAGCTCGTCGTGCCCAATGCTCCTGCTCATCCCGGCATTGTTTGTCTCGCAGTCCACGCCCTCGCGACGTACTCTCCGCCCACCGCTCAATCGCGCCACCTAGCATATGTTTCTGCCCAAGGCCAAAACAGTCCACCCGGTCCTCCGTGTCTGGGTTCTGGTATGTGCGACCCGGCACATACAAGTGCAAGTTCGATTCGCGATAAGCGACCATGAGCGTGCCGACCTCAGGCCGCGTATGTGGACTGGGATGTTTTCCGCTGACCGTCTTCAGTTCTAGAGCTTCGCCGTATGTCTTCTTCGTATCAGCAAGACGGACAATATTTGGGGCGACGACGTTGCGCGCGAAGTTGTTATCCCACTCGTTATTGCCGCGCTTCAAGATCGTCTGGTAGTCGTCATTAAGGTGCTCTTGCAAGAGGTCGCATTCGATGTGTGTATCCTCTTTCCCCTTGGGATTCACAAGCATGTTCTGCTTGATCGTCTTCTGCAGGGGAGGATGTGAATCGTACTCGATGTCACTGATGAACTCGCTGCCATATCGGAAGTAGTTCTTATGCGTCGATCCGCCGAATTCAACGTGTTTGAACTGCAAATATTAGGATGGTAAGTTCTCAAGTTCCTGATGCACGTATATCTTTCATTCTTACCTTGACCATCTCGTACAGCCTTCCGGGATCGCCATATGCCGTTGCCATAGCCATTTCGCGTGACATGATGCCATCGAGGATCAGGCGGCCAGCATGTGCGAGCACTCGATCGCCTCGGTATGTTGTCGATGCACTCAGGCTTGTCCGCCAGCTATGGAGCCCGCGGGGCGCGTTAACCCCTGTAGGTAGCTCACCCACTGCGACATGCAAGTCCGTGTTCGTACCGAAGTCCCCACGCGACGCCCGAGTGAATGCGCGATGTGACGAGTATCTGAGATGCAAGGTGTGTGCGAGGTTGTAGAGATCTTCGAACGATAACAAGCAAGCACTCCTCTCCAACTCTTCGACGTGGACCCAAAGGTCATCTGGGGTGCCAAATATAATGCGCCAGCAATCGAGCATGCGAGTCGCAGATATGAGGTCCAAGAGGTCGCGTGCAGGATAGTAGTCCGTCTTGCCGGTGCGCTCAAACGGTGGCTTGCGAGTAATCTTCGCCGCACTGTGCCCGATCTTCGAAGGATCTGGCTCGGTAAGACCCTCTCCCCAGTGCACGTCGTACACCCGATTGACGTCTGTCGTCTGCAGGTGAAACATCTCCAGTGTAGGCTGCATGATCTCGAAGCTTTCGAGTTCATCCGGATGCATCTGCAGGTACATCTTCAGCTGCAGGAACTTGTCGTAGGTGAGTCCATCACCACCGGAAAGCATGAGGCGACGAGTATAGTTTCCTCTATGCTGACCCATCTGCGCGTAGAAATCGACGTTGGCATCTTTGAACTCCGACGTGACAGTCTCGTCCTTTCCAACCGTCGAACAGGGGCGGATCCTTGTTGTACGTGGTTGAAGCCGTAGCACAGCGATGCCACCCTTGATCTCCATCGGGGACTTCAGCCGTAAATCGTCCAGGTGTGGCTGATACTTTCTGTACTGGGGAACGTAGCTCACGAGAACCTGCAACCACCAGAAGATGCACACATTAAGCAGATGGTCGTGATCAAGATTGCCGAGGAAGTGGCGTGTGGTGAGGTCCTTTCGAAGGGGTGGAGCAAGTATCGCAGCGCGTTTCAGGTCGAGGTCGAGTGCAGTGGCATCGAACTCATACAGATCAACAGCTGTGCCTGCAATTCCAATATTGGCGACGTCCTCGCGGCCCATACGCAATTCGCGTCTTCTCCACATGAGCTGTACATTGTCGTTGAAGAATTTGAGTGCATTCGATGATGCTCGCCCGGCCTTCTCTCGTTCCTTAGCCTCCTCGACGCCCAATGCTCGTAGAAACTGGTATATTGTGCTCATACCGACGGATAGCCCTTCCCGTGATCCGTATCGGAAGAGCTTCTGCTGTGCGTTCGCTGCAAACCACAAGAGTGAGCGAGCAGCTGGTAGGAGATTTGCGGTCGTGCGATGCGAGATCAAGATCGTCGAGATAGCTGTAGTTGTTGTCTGTGTAAGTAGATTCAGCAACATCCCTTTCATTGTGTACAATGTACTCACGATGTGTGGTGGCCTATATCGGCGGGTGGCAACGACTTGACCTTTGCGTGACCTAGGTGTTGCCAGAGTGTAGACCAAAGTCCAAAGCAGTGGCTGGGATTTCCGGATGCGCTCAGCGACGGTGTTCGTCAAGGATGTCCCAAGATCGTCCCATGTCACCACACCCTCCAGAACCTCCTTTCCATCTACCACACGCTTCCGTCGAGTGATAAGGCGCAATCCGGTCTCGGGCTTCATCGCGTGGTTCCTTTGCCTCTTCAGTTCGCCAATAACGATCTGAGCTGCGAACGACGTTATTGCGGCACGCGATGGCTTGGCATGGATAGCCTCAAGACACTCTTCGTAGGACTGGTACACCTTGAACCTGTCGTCAAGATCGTCCCCACGTCCGTCGGCACTCCGGTACCAGAAGTCGAGGATCTGGGCGATACCGTGCTTTGTCCTTCCACCAAGGAAGGCACTCACGGCTGCAGCGTGTTTGCGCGATCGCGCAGTCTCATCGCGTTTGGGTGGGTAGTAGAGGTGATACATGAAATCGCCTATGGTCCACTGACTCCCACTATGTTCGCGAATGGCATCAATGCACTCGTCTAGCTTCTCTGCGTGGGTTCGCCGAATGTGCGACTGTCCCTCAGTCTCGACACCGACTGAGACATATTGCTTTTTATTGGACGAAGGTGCAGGTGCAGGTGTAGACGAATCTGAAAGGCCATATGTCCATGCACGCCACTGAGTACCAGGCTGTGTACGAGACCCGATAGAAGGCATTGCCGGTGCACGGGCACCAAAGGTCGGTGGGAATGGAAGAGGACTCGGAGAGGGTACTATAGCTGCGGATTCCAGTCCCTCTGTGAGTACCTCTGCTTGAGAAGCATTCACTCTTACTCACCTTCGCGTGTGGGCGTAGATACTGTGTTTCGTGACACTGGACTTGGAGTGGCCGGTGGCTGCACTCTAGCCCCTTGATTCTCCGCAAATGGAGATGGATTTACTGTATTCCCTTAGAAACAATTCAAGACTCAATTGCCTTGCGATGTGCGCTCACGGGGTTCAGTATCGGTAAAGATACTCATCTCCGCTTCGTGTGGGGAGTAGAATATGGAGGGCTCGTTGGATGCAATTTGATACATAGTTTGTACATCATCTCGAGGACCCGTGGTGTCCTGATGTCTTCGTGATTCATCTGGGGTGGTACTAAAATGAATACCCCTTCCAGCACTCATACTGAATGTAACGCGAGATGTCGACGTCGCAGATAAAGATGCTCAAAAGCCGCGAATCGGCCTCGGACCGGACACGCCGCGTTCGCGCGCGCGAGCCCTCGTCAGGCAGATGACGGTCTATCGTAATCTCAATTATGTTTTCGCGTAATCACACTCGACATTTCGCAGCACTCGCGGGGCTTTTCCTGAGCACCGGTAAGGGTGGCGCGTCGAGTTGCAGGCTTTAATCAGGTGATCGTCCTCCCCCACCAACAAGATCACCGATAAAGCCTGCAAGGGAGGCTAGGATCTTCCCAGCAGACCGCCATCCCTCCGAGGATGCCACAGTCATCATATCCGCGTTCTAAGTTACAGGTACGGTCAGACTCGGAGGGTTCAAGTTGCGGCCTGTAGCAGCCGGCATGCGTAACTAGACGCCGAACGCGTACGTAGGCTATAAGAACCCAAGAGCACAGGATTGCGCGCGCGCCCATCACTCTCCATCCTTTCTTTCTTCCCGCTACCACCATGGCCGCAGAGACCGCGAATACCAATGCCCCGCAAGACAATGCCACTGGATGTGCCGCCCCGTTGAAGCTCAACCTCGCGCGGAGGATCTACTTCGCGTGTCTCATCGGGATACACTCGACCATGGTGCGTAATCGCGCCACAATTACCATTTCCGGCCGCTTACTAGGGTTGGGATACAGCTCGGTCTCGAGGGTTATAACCTGTACAGCACGGTGAACGAGTCGCCTGCTAGTGCCACCGTCGAGGGCAAGACCGAGTGGGACCTCTGTGCCCCGCTCGGCGCCTGGTCCGTCTCTTGGCGTTTCGTCCTCAATGTCTGCGGTATCGCATTCGCCATGGCCACTCTCTTCGGCGGGTGCGCAACCATCCATATCAGTTCAATATGAATGTCGGGATGCTGATTCGTATTCGTTGTAGTAGTAACCGCATCCGCGTCCGCATCGTCGCCCACTCGATGCTCCTCTACGCCGCCTGGTTCATGACCGGCCCCTTCCTTCTTTACTCCTACGCCGCCGAGTGCGCGGTGGAGGCCCCGGGCCTCTTCAAGGCCGCGCTCGCGAACTATGTCATGTTCACTTTCTACGCCTTGTGCATGATGGTCCTGTTCATGTTCGCCGTGAGTTGTCTTGCCTATTGTTCTCGTTTGAGTCGTATTTGGTGCTGATACGTTCTTGTGTTGCTATGCAGGCTTTCAAGGGCCTCCGTAAGGCCCGCGCTCAGATCAAGGCGCGCAAGGCGGCCGCCAAGGCTGCCCAAGAGGCTGCCCAGCTCACGAACGAGAAGCCTCCCGTCTATGTGATCCCCGAGGGCCAGCTCGTGGACGTCAAGGCCGAGGAGCTCGTCTAGATCCAGACTGCCCCATCCCATCCGACCGGACTTCCAGTCGGTATACCCTCAGGTAACCAAGTACAGGTACACAAGATGCTCAACTGCTGTACTCGGTTTCGCCCACGATCTCCCTCTCACCGGCTTACTCTCGACAATCGCGACCTGATCCTCAGCCTGATCCTGCTCTGATCTGATATCTAATCCAGTTACATACGGATTGCTCCCGATAGCGTGTACTACTACTATTATACAGTTTGAAACCCATATCCATGCGTACATTGATGTGATACATATGCGACAAGTCCGATGAGATCGAGAGAAAAGGAGCGGGATGAATGGGATATATATCAGTACAGGGTATGCATGATGATGATGAGAACCCATGGTTCATTGAGCGCCAGGGCCCGCGAAAACCGGCACAGGCGCGGACGACCGATACCTGCGTCGTGGTGGCGCGAGTATCGTAGTTGTTTGGGCGACAGCCTCGTACGCCGCCCGCGCACGAGGCGATGAAGGCTTGCGCGGACGCACAGTCGCTTCGGGATCGCTGGGCACTTCCATTGTAGCCTCCCGGGAGTCGTTCAGCGATAGCGATGCCCTCTCGATGGTGGGAGAATGCACAGTCGGCACGCGGGCAGAGCTGCTCCGTCGCAATGAGCCAAAGTCGGTCCGGCGCCGGGGTGAGGATAGACGGCGCGGGCGCATCGTAGCTTGACCTTGAACTTCGGGCTCGCAAGTCTCGACTTCTTGACACAGCATCTCCGGGCTCTGTCGCGCACTGGCGAACAACAGATCCTCAGGTTCCTGAGAGCTACTCTTCGCAACGCTCTGCGTCGTAGGCGTATCGAATACGAGTAAAGACGTCGATAGCCGCCTCGGGTTCTGTTTTGGGCTGTGCAGCGACAGAGGACGCATGAAGAGTTCCTTGGCGCATTCATAGCATCCGCGCGACGCAAGCGCCAGAATGGCAGATACGCTCCCGAGTGCGAGCGCGGTTGTGTGGGGATCAGCGCTGTGTAGCGCTGGGGCGGCCGCGGCGAGCGCTTGATTCCCGGCGACGATGAAGAAGAGGAACAGGGCGCCTAGGGAGTGATACGATAATCCGGCGATGCGGAACACGCATTTTGAGAACATCCTACAGAACGAATCGATATCAGATCTTATGCAGCTTCGAAAATGTTTTGGGAAGCTCACAGGAATATTTGCGAGACGATCGCGAGCGCGTCCCACCCCGACACCCGCAGCACCGCAAACGGCGCAGACGTCTCGTTCATCCCGAACTCGAATACGAGCTTATTCCTCCCATCGTCGAGCATATGCAGCAGATACGCAGTCAGCGACAACACTGCAATTTCCGCCGCCGCGCAAGACCACGACTCGGTGTAAAAAGCCGGCGTCGGCGAGAGATTGCGCTTGCGATAGGGATTCGAAGCGGCGGACACCATCCTAGTCGGTCGAGAAGAGAGTGGAGAGGGGGAGGTGTATGATCAGCGAGCATAGCCGAAGCTGCAAGGCGGGCTTATATACATCGAACGTGTGGTTCGCGGACACGCTGACTAGGACAACAGAACGCTGGGGACATGAGGATGGGGGCGTGGTCGAAGATCCCGGATGTGGACTCCGAGCCGCCGATAAGTGGTCTGACCCATTGTTCGCTCAATGTGGCACAGGCGCTTCAGACACTATGCCACAGTAGGGTATATTGTGTATTGTGCAAAGCTGGTGTGAAGGGAAGATGTCAATGCGGAGAAGAGAGACAGGGGTAAGCGTGAAGATGTCGCCAAACGTGGTCGAGAACGAGGATGCTGCGTGGAAAGCGATGCATGCAAGCTTGAGCCACGAGGCGTACGCCCACCAGCCAATGCCAAAGCGCTATCTGCACTAGCTTCTAACATGTACTCTAAACAATATCTGTAGTCTCAAGAGGCGTAGGAGGATGCACTGAATTGATTTGATATCTGTACTTGACGTTGGGGACAAAGCGGGCAAGCGGAAGCATCTCGCGATCTCAGCTGATCGCCTCACGCGGCATGTTCAGATCTATCGCTTCGACCTCGCCGCCGGCGCATCTCTCAAAGCCATCGCACGCAGGGTACAGTGTATAAATCGTCATTGGGTTCCGTACGGCTAAACATATATGCAAGGCAGGAGAAAGTCGCGATAGAGAGTATATTACAAGGAAAAGAACATCAACATCAGAGAAGATCCGGGTACGGCAGCAGACATAGGGGTATGTGTGTCCGCGCCGTCGAGAGAGCAGACACAGCGCAGAGAACGAGCTCATGCATCTGCGGGTAGCTCGATCCAGTCTGCGCCGAAGGTGTTCTCGCCCGAGTAGCTGACGTACAGGAAGTTGTCCTCGTCCCTAAGCAACAACGCGTCAGCGCTGCGGGCGCCAATGTGAGTCGACTGGATGACAATACGCACTTGTGCTCCTCGTAGATCGCGCTCATGAGTGCCGCTGTTGGCGGCAGGATCTCGTCGACGAAGATGAAGATGGCCTTCTCCGGCGCGAGCTTGATACGCTTCCGAATAACGTAGACGAACTGGCCCACGGTTAGATCCTGGTGTATCATATCAGCATTGATTCGTATATTGTATCAGTTCCTGGTACGCACAGATGGTACCAAGTACTTCTTCTTGTCGATGGTCGGGATATCTGTCCTGTCCGCCTTCTCGCAGATCACCTGTAACCACGCCACGGGCGTCAAGATTATCTCCCAGCATATGAAATAGCGCACGCCACGCACGGGAATACGATCGGGGTACTTCTGGCGAATGCGCTCTGCCTCTGCCTTGCGCTTCTCTGCAACGCGCGTACACCGTTCAGCGGATGAACCACTAATGACTGCGGACCGCACTCACCAAAGGGGTGCTCATCCTTGAACTTGGAACGCATGATAATTCAGACGCGATGGGTTGGGTTCGTAAAGGAGTTGAGGTAAGGGCGACGAGACGGGGCGGAGGTGGTGGTGGTTAGAAGCAAGGCGACGGTGGCGGCGGAGTGCAACGAGGCGGCGAGCCGAATGCAGGCCGCGAAGCTTCGGCAACTCGCGGCCGCTTATCAAGGCAACTGAACGACCACTATGGCGCCCTGAGCTCGCCTTCTTTCCCTCAACCGTGACTCGGGCGAGAGGCTTCTACAGCCCACTAGCACTTTCCTTGTCTTTGGAGCTGGCGAGGCGCTAACGACATACGTCGGACAATAGTGATTCCCGCTGATTCGGGGTGAGCGTGTTCGAGTCGTTGACGCGGAACCGGACCTTCGAATTGAATGCATACGAAATATCCTATGATAATGTATCCACAAATAGCACCGCGAGATCCGTCTATAAACATATCCACCCAATAGATACCCTTAGTTATAAGTTATGAAAAACCCGAAAGTATGGACCACCGAGAGATGCCCACTGGTATCTGGCGGCATGAGTGTCGCTCAGTTGAACCCAGCCAGCCTCGGATCCGGCCTCGACGCAACAGTCGACGAACGCGACAGTGGGACTCCATGAGACTCAGGCGTAGCAAACCCCAGCGCCCTCAACTCCGGCAACCTCTGCGCCCTCAATACCTCCTCGCCCTCCGCTAACTGCCTACTCCTCCCCTCAAACGCCTCCAGATTCGCATCCGGCGGCGTAGCACGCAGCTGACCCTCAAGATACGCCAGCACACCCGGACTTTTCTGTTGCCTCAGATCGGGCACTTTAAACTGTAGGACGTCGCGTATCGCAGCGGTCAAAGCGGAGAAGCGCGAGAAGTTGATGAGTGGGCGGTTGTCGGGCCCGTCGACGGCGGCTGGATGCGAAACGAGGACGGCGTGCAGATCGTGGAGATGGACCGCGAGCCACGGTACAGTCGCGTTCTTATGATCGCGTATCGCAGCGCGGTATGCACGATGATTGCGGCCCGGATCGAGGAGCTCGCACATCCTAGTCAACATGGCCTTCTCGTGTTTTCGGAGGTTGCTGAGCTCCCGCGTCAACACCAGCCGCTTGATCGTCGTGCTCTGCAGGGCATTCACGATCGCTGCCATACTGGCAAAGTTGGCCAGTTTCGCGCATTCCTCGGCGGTATTGACGAAGAACTTGTATACGTCCGCGCGGACGTCTGGCGAGTCGGAGCGTAGGATGCTCTTCTTGACCCAGTTCATGATGCGATTACTGGCCCCGACCGCGCGCTCGACGCGGCGTGCTCCTGCGAGGCGTTGCAGTTGCGCGAGGCAGTCGAAGTGCGTGATTTGGGAGAAGAGGGTGCCTTCCAGGACGGTGAGCGCCACTGCGAGCTCGAGCGGCAGGATCTCAGAGGCGCGGGGGATGGAGACGCGGGAGTTTGTGTGCACGGAAAGACCGGGCGAGTAATCCGGTTCTTTGTAGGCTATCTGGAAGGCAGTCAGACACCATGAACATGAAGAATATTGATGAGCGAGGAAAACACACCTTGCGCTCGACGAGACCCACAATCTCCCGTGACAGGGTCAAAATCGTCTGCGATCCCTGCACAGATCGTGCGAACACCATGATAGTCATGAGCACAGTCTCGTCCATATCCTCGTAGTCCAACTGCAGCCACGTCTGAATGAGCAGCAAAATGGAGTACCGCCTGATCCTACAATCTTCCCCGCAATTCTCGTGGTTCCCGTCATCGACATCCTCGTAATGCGCTCGCAGTCGTTGAAATAGCTGAGACGAAGACGCGAAGATGCGGTAGCATGCGAGGAAGATGAACCGGTATGCGACGTCCTCGGACGTCTGACCGCTGTCGGTGAAGAGTCTCTGAACGAGTCCTTCGAATGTACCGGCCTCGACTCGTCCGTCCGAGTTGGTGCGTACGATGGGTTCAGGATCCGCTAGCGCCGTCGCCAAAGAGTAGCTCAGACCCGAGGCGGTCGATGTCGATGCGCGCGGCACTTTTTCGTCAAGGGATGCTAGCGACGTTAAGCTCGCACCAGGGCGGTGCGCGTAGACTCCGGCCACACTGCCCGGTCGTGGGTTCGAGGGACCCGCAGCGCTGTCGACGTTACCGCTGCCTTGTTGTGCATCCCGCGCGGCGGGAGGTGGTGGCGCGGGTAGAGGAGGCACCGGTTCATCGCCGACTGACCCATTCGAGCGGTTCTTCGCGCGCAAACGAGAGAGACTCGCAATACGGAAAAGACCCTTTCCATCCGCGTTCGTTTTGTTGCTGCGGCTGCGCGCGGAATGCTCATTAGGCTGTGGATGCGCCGTTGACTGCCGGGACGGTGCGCGGGAAGATGTTGAAGGGAGAGGCGGAGCATGAACATCGGAGGAGGTGCTCGACGAGGGAGTTTTCCCAGGAGAAGAGAATGAAGAAGAGCGGCGTGCGGAGAACTGTGAGAGAACGGAAGGGAAGCGGCGGAGTGAGCTCGCGTCGGAGCCTGATGTGGAAGTTGCTATTGTGCTGGGTGTGCCGCTGGCCCAGGATTCGCTTGAAGATGATGCGGTGACTGGTGTTTCGTTCCCTCGGTTTCGAGGAACAAAGCGCTCTGCAGAGGGTACAAGCTTTCGTAGCACTGATTCAACATCGCTCATTGTTGGCCGAGCAGCGGGATCCACTACCCAGCAACGCTCGAACAGCGCCCAAAGTGCATCCGTGAGGGTTGGTGTCGTGCGAAGTGACGGTCGCTTGGGCAATGTACCGTTGGTAACCATGACCGCTACAGTGGTATCCTTAGGACATTCAGAATAAGGTGGCTTCCCACTGAGCAGTTCAAGACATAGCATGGCGAAGGACCAGACGTCCGCGGGTGGCATCGCAGGAACAGTTGTGGCGGGCTTGATGACTTCGGGTGCCTGCCATCGGACAAGTAAAGGACTGCCCTCCTCGAAGAACTCAGAAAGACCGTAGCTGGATAGGCGGACTTCCCCAGTTGAGGATATCATGACGTTCGCCTGAGGACTGGTCAGTCGCCGTCTGCGAGACGAACAATCCTTGACTTACCCCTCGCAGATCACCGTGGGCTACATCATTCGCGTGCAGGTAAGCCATGCCAGATGCGACATCGGCTAAGATGCGGATCCTCTCGCTTGCAGTACGTTCTTGCACATACGTCTGTGCCATAACGCTCTCGAACCATGGACTAACGGAGCACACGGCGCCGTCCACCACCGCCGTCCCATAGAGTCTTAGGATGTTGTCGTGGTCTAGGGTTCGCCATCGCTCAACCTGTTCTTGGAACAGCTGCGGTAACCGATGAGCACTCTGGTCTCGCACGCAGTGAGTCTGGAGGCTCACCATCTGCGCAACCGGCGTCTGGTTTCGAGGAAACCACAGGGAGATCTATACTCGCCGTTTCGGTCACTACGCGCAAGCAGTTGTAAACGTAGTATGACCAACCTCTTGGCGTCCTAGCCATTGACCTCGGTAGATATCATTGGACCCGCCTGCTAGAGCACTCTTCTCGCTGCTCTTCGTGACTTGCCCGGTGACTATCGAGTGGGGAGCGTGAGCGCCGGACAGCATGTGCGTGGTAAGAACTCACGGTCAGATAACGGAGGTAGTCTGTCTGATAGTTGGTGTAACTCCCACATCCCATTATGCAGTATGCCTATGTCGGGAGCGTTGTGGCTAGTCGCGTGCAGTTCCTTTGGGACGTTGAGTTGAGCGCGACATGAAAGCGATTGCTACATACCTCCTGGATAGCCTGCATCACTGCTTCCGTCTCCTCCGGCGGGTACGTCGATAGCAATAGCTTCAGCTCCCCGAGATCTTGCAAGACGTCGGCCATGACCCCGCGTATTAGTGCTCCATCCTCTGTTTCGAGCGCAGCACGGCCGTCTGTATTGGATTGCTGCAGGCTGAGAGACATCTGGATCCATGTGTGAGCGGGATTGCGAGTGTGTGATAAGATAACAAGTATACACACACTAAACTTGGCAGAGCACTCGTTCAGCTCATCGTACGAATCCTGAACGCCTTGCCTGATCTCCGTCTGGCGGATGAAAGCGCGCGTACGACTGTATCCGGACCAGGCATGTATCCGGTTGTGTACCCGAGAAATGACTCTGGCGTGCTCATTCAGTCGCGCACACGACATACAATGGTCCGTTTACGCACTGCTCTACCTCGTCCGCGACCACCGCCCTCTCCTCCAAGTCTAAATCTCGCGTGTATTCCGCGAGGGATAATAGTAGTTGACCGCATTTGCGGCCGAGATCCCGACATTGAGCCTGACAGATCCAGTCAACCGCTGTGCTGTACCGGGGGCGAGAGAAGCTGAGAAGCGCGGCGAGGGCTCACCTGATGCACCTTCAGGGAGTCGAGGTACGAATATATGGAGTAGACTATAGAGCTCTCAGCGACCCTGCGACAACGTGCTCCAGGCGCTCAGTAGCCGCCCAAGAAGCAGCACACACCTAAAGATACAGATGTGTCGTGACCGCGCACGGTGGAAAGCGGCAGGAGCTCGTCGACGCTCATTCCAATCTAGGTAGGTGTCCGTGACGAATGCAGTAAGGGAGTGTAGATGTAAGGTAGTGGTCAGAGTCGTAAGATAGGCATGAATGGAAGGGAGAGCGATAAGTTAGCGCTGGGAAGCTGGAAGTGGGAAGTTGAAAGCCGGACAAGTGATGGCTGTACTATCTTAGCCGGCCCAGGCACAGCAAACTGTAAAGTAACACGAGGCACCAGGTCGCGTTCGTTGATCTCGATCAACGTTGTGATCATTCCCTTAAAGTCCGAACGTCCGCTTGGGCGACATGCAAAGACTCCACACCTGCCCTCGCTGAGAGAAAGATGCAAGAATTCACCTGAGCCTTAGCAGAGTTGGGACGAAACCGCTCTACCTGAAAGAGGACAAAGGCTGCAGGCGTGAAACTCATCACGTGATCGCGTTGTTCCGTGTACCCGCGACGCGTCTTCGCGCGTTGCTTCACGCGTCCGCGACTTCCGAATAGATCCACTATACCCGACGAATACTCCCTTATGGTATTGGAAATTGAAGACGTGTGAGGGCTGTCTTGTCTGCGCTAGGATCGACTGACCCGTCAAAAGCCCAGTGCCGTCGGAACCATTGCTACGTGCCGCCAGCGTAGCATTGCCTCTGACCGAAGGCACACCATCCTTCAGGCTCGATGCGCAGAACAAGTCGTTCAAGCATCAATACGCGAACATATACTTCTTGCGACTGCGGCTACTGCGTACTTTTGTGGAGGAGAATGCCGCTAAGAAATGGCGCAACCTGGCTGGTACGACGCTCGCGTGGTTGGGCTTCGATAGGCGCTCATGATATCGCTATAGGCTCCCCAAAGCTAATTCCTCGTGTTTTGGAGGTCACCAAGGGCCAACTCTGCTTCATTGTCGGCACAGTATACATGGACATGCCGCTGAAGCCCAATGTATTGGAAGACATCGGTCGCGATGTACGTGGTTGCGGCTTCTCTCGCCGCTAGCGCCTCCAACCTTCCCACAGCGTTCGATACCCGCTCCCCCGCCTCCTAGGAAAATCTTCTCCGATGATGATGTCGTTAGCTTGGAGGACGAGTCCGGCCGCATTCGATTGGCCGGGGATCGAGTGAAGAGCACGACTCTGGTCACGGGTGTCATCGCCGGCGTACTCGGTGTCGAAACGGCTGCGGGGGAGTTCGAGGTCGTGGACATCTGCTTTGCCGATCTGCCACCCCATGACGGCCAAGACGGAAATGAAGAAGACGCTATGCAGGTCGATGGTACGACTCAACCTGCGAGAAGCTGGCTACGTGCTGACAGGCTGTCCCCAGATGCAGTCGAAGATCAGGATGAAGAATACATCGCAGTCATATCAGGGTTGGACATCGGAACATCCGCAGCAGTCGAAGCACAGACACAGATGCTTGCAGAATACTTGACGGGAGAGGGCGGAGGTCCTGATGACGCCGGCGTCGCGTCGCGCATAACGCGGCTGATTGTTGCAGGCAACTCCTTGTACCCCATCGAGCCTACGGAAGATGGACCAAGAGAGCGGAAGGCAGTAAGTGCCGTCTCATCCGGTCTTTAGCAGCACGCTTACACGCTGCAGAAACGCTACGGACACGGGCCCGCGAATTTCTCACCACATCCAATTCATGATCTAATTGGCCTTCTGGCAGATGTCGCACGCTCAATGCCCGTGCACATTCTTGCCGGTCAGACAGACCCACAGGGTGTCATTCTACCGCAGCAGCCCTTCCCGCGCGCCATGTTCGGTGACGCCTCCAAGTTCGCGTCCTTCTCATGCGAAACGAACCCGACGTATCTTCGTTTTGCACCAGGCTCTGAAGACGATGCACAGCCGACAAATGGCGCTTCAAGCTCTCACGCCTATCCTTATACACGTACCATACTCGCAACGTCGGGCCAGCCACTCAACGACCTCTGCAAGTACGTCCCCACGGATGGCACGGCGCGACTTGACCTTGCGGAATCCACGCTTCGTTGGCGACACATGGCGCCCACTGCGCCAGACACGCTATGGTGCCATCCGTTCTTTACCACCGACCCTTTTGTACTCCGCACAACGCCGGACGTGTATGTGCACGGATGTCAGCCGCACTTCGCTACACGTCTTGTCGAGGACGGTTCGAAACGCTGTCGGGTGGTATTGGTACCATCGTTTGCGGACAGCGGTGTCCTTGTTCTTGTGGGTTTACGGACGCTCAACGTGCGAACAGTGAAGTTTGCTGTAGTCGGCATGGCCATTGGAGAGTAATCTTCGTCATGACTATGCAATGTTATCCTTATTCGGTTCTGTCAACAGTCCGCAGCTATCGAACCTCCCTCATCAGGGCCGATTATGTCCAGCGCCACTGTCATCCTTGCTATCAATCGTATGATTTTGACTTGAGAATATAGCGACGGACTGTTCGTCTCCTCGTATGACTGGTCTGGTCTCGTCAACCTTCTGTTGCAGATCATCAGGATACCGCGGTGCTGAAACCGAAGCCATTTCATCGCGAGTTTTGCACAGGTCGATGCCGACGCGGTGTGAATATTTGTCTTCGCCGCGACTTCTCCTCGCACAGGTATACCCACGTAGAAGGCGTCCACGCATTTGTCATATGCGTCGTGGGATTTCGATGAAAATGCCTCTTCTTTCGGAGGAAGTACGCCAGAACGCCTTCTGCTGACGCTCTGCAGGCATTCATGAATGTCCAGGTGCTCCTCAGAATGCTTCGCCTCCAACTATACCGCTGAAGATGAACTGCGCGGCGCTCGTTCTACCCCGAGATCGCAATGTCTGTCAGGGTATACCAAGGGTCCGATGGATGGGTAGCCCACGCTCCGTGAGAGGATGAGGCACTTTCCGGGCACGCGCCTTACAGGCGGGAGTTAATCTGCCTATTCGACTGGCTGGATACCGTTCTCATTCTAACCTGTGCTCCGTCTCGGCACGCCACGTCCCAGCAAGAAATCGGTGATGGACTCGTTTTGGCACGATATCCACATCCCGCGCGGGGGCTGCTCACGCCCGCGCTGCGCACCTCACGAATAGACGTAGGGGTATTGGTGTCGCCTCGTTAAAAGCCAGACAGGCTCAGGGTTGACCAGTCCAGACTTCAGTCTTCCCCAGTGCTCCCTGTGCGAAGTTGCACTCTTTCTTCTCTCATTCGGACCCGCCGCACGAAATACGATGTTTACGATCGCACTCCCGCTTCTTTCTCTCGTCGCCTCCGTGCTCGCCAGACCTCAGTACGGCTACAGCCCCCCGCCCAGCGGCGGCAGCAGCGGCGGTAGCAGCGGTGGCTCATCGTCTTCGTCTGCGGCGTCGGCTGCTGCTTCCCCGCCGCCCAGCACAAATGGGCAGATCAACGTGAGTCTAGATTCGCTTGGCTGAAGCTTGGGGAATGAACTCTTGCTCATCACATGTCCAGGTTCAAGTTGGTGCTGGTGGCCAGTTTGTGTTCAACCCGGCGAACATCACCGCTTCCAACGGGACCGTCGTGAACTTCTTCTTCCCTGGGTATGCGGCATATGCATCACATTATAGCGCAAGGAGCTGACATAAACCTTCTACAGTGACATCCCCCATTCCGTCACCCAGTCGTCCTTCGCGGCCCCGTGTACTGCCTTGACGGCGCAGAACGGATCGGGCCCCGGCTTCGACTCTGGCTTGCAGACCAACAAGCAGTTCTCGATCACGATCACCGACGACCAGACGCGTACGCATTTCCTCCCTCAGAGCTGGAAGCATTCATACTGACATGATCATACAGCAATCTGGTTCCACTGCAAGCAGGTCACTCATTGTGGTCTGGGCATGGTCGGCTCGATCAACGCGCCCGCGTCTGGCCAATTTACTTTCGATGCCTTCCAGTCGGCGGCCAAGGCCATTGGCAGCAACGAGAAGACTGTACGATCAACTCATCTACTCGAATGACCAACTTACTGACCCTCTTATGCAGGAGACTGACAACGGCCCAGTGACCGGTGGTGTTGGTGCCATTGCCACTGCCGCACCCGCCAACACGGCGTCGGCCGCAGCCGCATCAGGCTCTTCCGGCTCCTCGAGCTCATCAGGCTCGAGCTCCGGTGCCTCTGCCCGCGCCGGTGTGACCGGTGCCGCGCTGCTCGCGCTCGTATCTGGCGCTATGGGTCTCACTCTTCTCGCTTAAACTACCTACTATACGGTCGTGTCTGCTACGTAATACGCCTATGCCTTCGTCTCCTATACACCGGACTTCTTGATGCTGCCTCGTAGATGACATTCACGGCTCCATTGTCTCGTACTACATAAAATGCAGCGCTGCTTATACCTTAGAGCGTGAAGTGTGAGGACCTCGTTCTCATGATCATGGCCGCCTTATACGCGCGATGGCTGATGGACACGTATGCGAGTTCGTGTGACGCGTACGCGTATCACACGTGATCGCGCGTACCGAATAGCCCTGTAGATGCGGATGAACGGACGGAGGCTGCGCGCGCACCTTGATCCCAACCGCGACAACTGCTCCGTCCACCGCGTCGATACCCGTCACGATACCCGCTCACTGCGATGTTCAAGATACCGCAGAATATCACGGCGCCGTTTGGCCTTCTGGGCGATGAGGCGAAGCTCACGTTTCGGAGTCAACCTGGAGGAATAGCGAAGCTGGCTTCCACAAGAGTGCGTAGTGCACATAGCTGGAATGGGGGCACGTCACCTGATGTGTTGTAGAACATCTCTGCTACGGATGCATACTGGGATCAAGTGTGTGCCTAACTTTATGCCCAATTGCCTAGCTAACCTCGATCCTAGTATGTTGTACTTTTCGACTCTGCATCGGATGTATACTCTCTCATATCACCTCAAGATAGTGAGTGCGCATATCTTTCAACATATCGCTTGCTTATAACGCCTCGTAGTCAGGCGGGCCCTGGTAGAGGCTCCAGAGAATGTCGCAACGCTCATCCGCGTGATAACATCCCGCCTATTCAACCTCGTATCCGACCACACCTTCCCCTCGCCACCCCCGAACCCCGTATCAACCGTCACAAACTTTGCGTCAACATTTATGAAAGCCGGCGGAGAGCGCAACCCCACAAAAGAGGTGCTGAACTGCATCCGCGTCCTGCAGCGCGTGCTACCGGTCGTATTCGAGCTCGACAGCGACTTGAGTATCTTTGAACGGGAGGTACTGTGGAAACGCGATGTCGTCGAGGGACAAGACGACTCTGAGCATGTGGAGCATGCGCCTCAGTTCGTGATTGAGGACGACGACGAGGATGGACCGCCTGCCGCAGCACCGTCAACTGCGGATGCGCCAAAAGACCAGAAGACGCACCCAGCGCTGGCAGAGCGTCTCTTCAGTTGCTTGATCGACTTGCTATTTTGCTGTGGGTTTACCCTCCCTGCCAAGATACAAGTCGACCACTATAAGATCAACTACATCATCTGGTGCGTGCTATCCATAGCCCTGGTAACCGTGTTGCTCATCATATAACAGGGAGAAAGGCGTTGGATCTACTGTCGATCCCGGTCCAAGTCACGCATACGACGGGAACAAGACCGAAGTCCTACGACTCATCCTCGTTCTCTTGTCTCGACAGATCTATGCTCCTCCGTCGGGCCTATTCACATGCCCTTCCCAGTACACCCTCCACCTCGTCCAACGAACTCCACGGAGGGATGTCTTGACTGTTCTATGCTCTTTGCTGAATACGGCTATGAACTCTGTTCAATCTACAACAACGGTCATCGGAAACGTCGCCGGTCGAATACCCTACAACCATCTCGTATTCAAAGGCGAGGATCCACGCGCGAATCTGGTTGGCATGTGTTACCAGGTCTTACTCGCTCTGCTCGACTTCCAGAGCGGCACTGCACGGGACAACCTGATCGTACCCGACGAGGTCCCCGTCTACGCTCCTTCACTGAAGACCAATGCTTTCCGCCACTTCGTAGCCAAACTAGTGAGCCCGCCCTTTTCAACACAACTTACCGATACTCATGCGAAGTGCAGCATCGACCAGCCGACTTCGAAATCATCTTCAATGGGATACTGGGCGTGCTCGAGCAGGAGATGATCACGATAAATAATGTTCTTCCTGGCGCTAGGAAATCTGTACCGTATATACCTGAGACTAGTGAGTACATCGAATCAATGTCGAGATACCAACTTGAACCACTCGTCAGTATTGCTCTTTTGGAAGATGATTGAACTCAACAAGGTATACGCGCTGTCGACTCCTCAATCTTACTAAGGCTGAACTCTGTACGCAGAAGTTTCGCGTGTACCTGCTGGAACAGGAGAAGTCTATGGACATCGTGTGCTATCTACTATGCTACTTCTTGGAGATCAAGGACAAACCCCGTGCGTCTGCATGTCCGGTTGTACCATGTTGGCAGCGGCTGACTCCTCGTAGAGCAACATGGCTTGTGCCGAGCCCTGTCTTACATTATCCAGACGTTGTCCGCGGAACACGCCTTCGGTCTCAAGCTTTCCTTCCCCACCAGACCCGCACATCTCCCCGCCAAGTGGAACGTAGGCGGAGCAGCTGCAGACTTCATGATCAACGTGAGTGCACGTCCGTGGGCCCAATTTGGTATGAACTCACAATCATCCAGGCCATATACTTCATAGTAGCGACCACATCAGGCGCGCTCAACTCGATGTATCCGGCTCTGATCATCGCCCTATCCAACTCCGCGCCGTACTTCCGGGACCTGACCGTCAACTCAGCAACACGCCTACTGCAGCTCTTCACATCCTTCGCCAACCCCGCTTTCCTGCTCGCAGAAGAGGGCCACCCACGTCTTCTCTTCTTCATGTGCGTATCTTCCTCACCCCGAAGTATTTGGCTCATCGTCGCACAGGCTCGAAGCCTTCAACGCCGTCATCTTCTACCACCTCCCCGAGAACCCGAACCTCTCCTACGCCATCCTCCGCTCGCACAAGACATTCGAAGACCTCGGGACGTTCAACCTCGCGCGCGGTCTTCGCGAGGTCCGCAGGATCCAAAAGGCGAAAGACGAGCAGGCCGCGCGCGCAGACCTCAAAGGCAAGAGCCGCGCGGCCGACGAGCAGCAGCCGCACGAGGAGAAGCAGCGCCTGCTCGAGCGGGAGGGCAGCACGCTGAGCGACAGCTTCACCGACCTGCGCATGGACTCGCGGCCGTCTTCGCCCCCGGAGGACCCGCACCCCGCGTCCTCGGAGGAGCACGTTGCGTCCGCGCAGCCGCTCACGTCTCCGGGCGTCGACACGCCCATGACGTCGGCGTATCCTGTTTCCGAGAAGGCGCGCGGGAAGATGAAGGCGCGCCGATCGGGCTCGGTGGATACGGATGGCAGCCAGGATATGGCTGCGCCCGCCAGCGTCGGGCGGAACGGGTTCGTTCCCACGCAGGAGTGGGTCACGTCGTGGCAGCAAGGGTGCGGCGCTTCTTCCCTCGCGTGCTCGTTGAGACGTGGCTTACGCTTGTGATACTTATAGCCTTCCGTTGGACCCCGCTCTGATCCTCATATCGGAGTTGATGCCGAAGTTACAAGATGTACAGGGGCATGGGACGTCGGCGTCGAGCAAGAGCATCATGGACCTCCTCTCGCGCGCAAGCCTAACCCACGCCCTCCCCTCCCCACCGCCCCTCAACCCCCGGCGCTTCATCGTACGTCTCCTCCCTCA